TTGGTTTACTTTAGATTATAATATCTATGTTTACTTCTATGTATAATACATGAGGGATTTTGTCCCTCAAATTTTAAATTATTTTTTGTTAGTTTGTTACTCCTAATTTAAGCTGTACTATATCTTTGCAGTTTTATGGATACTTCACCTAAGAATTAGATTTATTGTATTCATATAAACTTACAAATATTATCACCTGCTAAAATTCATTTCTTCTTATCAGCCCAGTTTAAATAAATGAGTTCCATAATCATGCCAGTGAGGTGATTTATGTTCTCCTGACCTTCCATGGCAATGTGTAATTTAATATTACTTTATGCTTTCTGCCATATGTTATAGTTACTTTTATATATCTCTTAATTAATATTATAAAATGCTTTTTGATTGTTTTCACTTTCTTTAGCCCTTGTCCTAGATCTTCAAACCACTATAAGATATTAAAATTGGAAATGTGTAATATTTGCTACAAAACACATGTATTCCTTTAGTTGTCATTCAGGTTCTTTACTGTAATAGCATATGACTGAAGTTGAATCTTTCAGAATATTATGACAATACAAAGGACAAAAGATAATTTCTGTATGATAATGGCTGCACTACAGCTACCGGCATGGTTTACTTCCTTAGTTTTCTATCAAACCAAATTTAGTATTCATGGTTTCCATTTTCTAGGTTTGGCAACCACTGGCTTCCTTGGATCTGTTCTGTCTGAATTTCCACTTTGCCAAATGTAATAGGTAGAATGAAAGTACATTTCAATTTCCTAAAGGTTAGAACAATTTATAATCAGTACTAGAGGCCTGGTACATGAAATTCGTGCAGAGGGGTGTCCCTCAGTCCAACCTGCACCCTTTCCAATCTGGGACCCCTTGAAGAATGTACAGTTGGACATCCCTCTCACAATCCAGGACTGCTGGCTCCCAACTGCTCACCTGCCTGCCTTCCTGATTGCCCTTACCACTTCTGCCTGCCAGACTGATCACCCCCTAACAACTGCCTTGCCAGACTGATTTATGTCTAACTGTGCCCCTGCCAGCCTATTTGCCCTAACTTCCCTCCTCTGCCAGCCTGGTCACCCCAAACTGCCATCCCCTACAGGCTTGATTGCCCCAAACTGCCCTTAATTGCAGGCCTGGTCCTTCCCAACTGCCCTCCCCTGTTGGCTATCTTGTGGTGGTCATCTTGTGTGCACATGGGGGCAGGATCTTTGACCACATGGGGGCAGCTATCTTGATCTTATCTGTTGGAGTGATGGTCAATCTGCATATTACTCTTTTATTAGATAGGATAGAGGCCTGGTGCACGGGTGGGGGCCTGCTGGTTTGCCCTGAAGGGTGTCCCGGATCAGGGTAGGGCTTCCCTTGGGGCATGGGGCAGCATGGGCAAGGGGCCTGAGGTGGTTTGCAGGCTGGCACCGCCCCCCACCCCCCCTGGCGATTCAAGTGGAGGCTCTGGTGTCTGGGATATATTTATCTTCTACAATTGAAACTTTGTAGCCTGGAGTGGAGACCTGGACCAGCCAGGGTGTGTGGAAAGCTTGGCTTCCTCCGTTGCTGGGGAAACCTAAGCCTCCCTCCTGCTCTCTGTGGTTGGGGTTAATTTGAATACTTGCTTTGATTGGCTGGTAGGCGTGGCAGGTGGGCGTGACTTGTGGGTGTAGTGGAATGGTGGTTAATTTGCATAATCCTCCTTTAGGCTTAGCAATTTAATATATTTTATTGATTTTTGTACAGCAAGGAAGGGAAAGAGATAGAGAGTTAGAAACATCAATGAGAGAGAGTCATCAATCAGCTGCCTCTTGCACACCCCCTACTGGGGATATGCCCACAACCAAGCTACATGCCCTTGACTGGAATCGAACTCAGGGCCCCCCAGTCCCCAAGCCAATGCTCTATCCATTCAAAGCTACATTCTTTTTTTAAAAAATATATTTTTATTGATTTTTTACAAAGAGAAAGGGAGAGAGATAGAGAGCTATAATAGAAAGGTCGAAGAGAGAGAAACATCGACCAGCTGCCTCTTGCACACCCTCTACAGGGGATTGTGTCCGCAACCAATGTACATGCCCTTGACCAGAATCGAACCTGGGACCTATCAGTCCGCAGACCAACGCTCTACCACTGAGCAAAACTGGCTTCGGCAGGCTTAGCAATTTAAAATAATATTCAGAAGTTTGGCATTAGTGGTGTGAAAGGATCGAGTAAAAAAAGAGAGGACTCATGGACATGGACAACAATGTGATGATTATGAGTCAGAGGGATTGTGTAGAGGTAATAAAGGGGATAAAAGGTTATGAAAATTTTAAATTAAATTAAAAGATATAAAGAGAAAAATAATGTTCACCATATTCATAAATGATGAGCAAAAATAAATTAATACCTTTATATTCTCTATTTCTAAGAAATCTGGTATTAGGTTGGTTTTAGAAATAATAAGTGTAGTGCTCAAAAAGTTACATAGCTTATACCAAACAAGAAACCCATGAGCCTTTCCAGAAAAGAAGCACAGAAAGTAAATCTAAGAAACAAAAATACCTTTTGTTTTTTCTATGAGGATAAACTTAGAGTTAAATAGGATGAGAAATAAAAGAGAAAATTAAAATCTTTGAGGAAAGGGGCACTATAAAAATGTCTATCAAGTTCTTATGATATTATGGGGTATCACAAACATAATTGATGTTTAAAATACATATAAAATATATAAATTTTATATTATATATTATAGTTTATGAATATATATATATTAGTAGAATCTATAAGCATATACTAGTAGTAATTACTGTGACCAGAGAAATAAAATAAATAGATTTGCTTTTTTTATACCCCAACATTTGACAAGTATAAGTTTAAAAGGCAACAGCTACTTTTTTTTTCTAAATCCCTTTCTAAAATGAATAAATAATTATGAATAGACCTCTTTTTAAAAGAAAACTGATGAGGGGAGTGGGTAAAGGAAGAGAGAGGCAAAATAGGAAACTGGGCTATGAAGCTGCATTCATCAATGTTAGTGGATGAAAACAGTTGATCCCTCTCTAGGCTGCAAGAGAAAGAACATATTGTGCAATTATGCCCTGTGCTGAATATATAATTGGCATTCAACCAATTAATAATAACAAGAATGATTCTGTCTGCGATAAGAATAAGACTTCCTATATTAGTCACAGTCTGCCTAGCTTTAGGTTGGCTTAGATAAATGTAGTAAAGACAAGAAAAACATCCCACTCCACAGTTTTGGGCTAATTTAATATCTCTGCTAAGTGCTGAGGTAGTATGGTGACAGACATGGAGAAAAATGCATGGATTGATTGCACTAATAGATAAATAGAGTCCATTTTAGCACAAAGAGAAAACCTTATAATTAGATGTGAATACCTGGTTTCTTGCCATCCATCACATATGCAAGTTTAGGAAAGTATTTTTGTAATGAATTAGAAATGAGCAATATTTCATAATATGATGTATTATACACATCCTGCCATAAGTGCCTCAATCTGTACTGACAATCATAAGATTCAGAAATGGTTCAACTATCTTCAAAGATCTTTCCACATACTTCTCTGCCAAATTTTTTGAAGAATTTAGCATTTTTAAAACCCTTGTGTCATCCAAATGTCACATTGTTTTGTAAAACTTTCCTAAAACAACTATCAAAGTCCTACCTAAGTTTGTAAGAAAATAGAAACCCAATAATGGGTACTTAGCCCATAAATTGAGGATACATACCACATATAAGCATTTAGTGGCTCTATTATAACCAAATAATAATATTACTAAGAAAATAAGCTAAATACAGCAACTTGTGCATTTTAAATAAAATATTTAGTGAATCAACAAGAATATGTATTTTTATTTATACTCAAACCCAAACCCTAAGCCAAGAGCAGACTCAAAATAATTATATATTGTAATCCTGGTTGGGTGGCTCAGTTGATTGGTACATTGTACACCAAAAGGTTGTGCCTTTGATTCCCCTGACAGGGCACATATGCACCTACCTGGGTTGTGGGTTCCATCCTCAGTTAGGGTGTGTATAGGGGTAACTGATCCATGTTTCTCACATCAATGTCTCTCTCTCTCTCTCTCTCTCTCTCTCTCTCTCTCTCTCTCTCTCCCCTCCCCCCCTCTCTCTTTCTTCCTCCTTCCCTCTCTAAAACAAAATTTTACAAAAAGAATCCTTGGGTGAAGATTTTTAAAAATGTATACACTGTAGTCTGTAACTTTATAAGAAAGAGATAACAGCTGGAACCCGTTTGGCTCAGTAGATAAAGCGTCTGCCTGCAGACTGAAGGGTCCCAGGTTCGATTCCTGTCAAGGGCATGTACCTGGGTTGCCGGCACATCCCCAGTGGGGGGTGTGCAGGAGGCAGCTGATCGATGTTTCTCTCACATCGATGTTTCTAACTCTCTGTCCCTCTCTTTTCTTCTCTGTAAAAAATTAAGAAAATATATTTAAAAAAAGAGATAACAAACATAAGGGGAGATGAGGAGAGGATTAAGAAGGGAGCAATAGAGGGAAAGACTAAAAATGTATCAAGATGTTTGATTAATTCTAACCAGATTCGATTAGCATGAAAACATTGATCAGATACACCAAGCACACCAGAGAGTGGAATGATGAATGTAATAAATAAGGAACAGCCTAGGCGCGGCGCCGCGGGGAGGCCTGGCCGGCCGCGTGCTGGACGCCTGCGGCTGCTGCTGGGAGTGCGCCAACCTCGAGGGCCAGCTCTGCGCCCTGGACCCGGCGCCCACTTCCAGGGGCGCAGCTGCCAGCTGGATGCAGGCGGCGCCCTGAGCTGCGCGCAGGTGCCCCAGCCGCTCGCTGCACCTGCTCTGTGGCTCCCAAGGCCCCACCTACGCGCAGCTCTGCCGCCTGCAGGAGGTGGCCCTCGCCCTGCCCAACGCCAACCTCACGGAGCCCCAGATCGTGCTGCACCCCTAGGACATTTGGAACGTGACAGGGAAGGATGTGATCTTTGGCTGAGCGGTGTCTGCCTATCCCATGGCCGCCATCGAGTGGAGGAAGGACGGCCTGGACGTTCAGCTGCCGGGAGATGGCCCCCACATCTCAGTGCAGTTTAGGGGTGGGCCCCAGAGGTTTGAGGTGACGAGCTGGCTGCAGATTCAGGCTGTTCGTCCCAGTGACCAGGGCACCGACCGCTGCCTGGCCCGCAATGCGCTGGGCCAGGTGGAGGCCCCAGCCAGCTTGACTGTCCTCACACCTGACCAGCTGATCTCCTCAGGCTTCCCCCAGCTGCCCGCCCAGCACCTGGCTCCCGAGGAAGAGGCTGAGAGTGAAGAGGGCGAGGATTACTACTAGGTCCGAAGCCCTGGCCCCTGGGGGAGGGGGAGGGAGGACAGTGTGCATCCCTGCTCTTGAAAAGATCTGGAAAGGGGGAGCAGGGCCCCTCACGTATTGCTTTAATGCAGTTACCAGGGCAGACGTGAGAGTGGTGGAGAGGAGACAGAAACTGGTAAGGAGAGGCAGAGACCAGGGAATAGGGGTGCTGGGATGGAAGGAGCCCATGCAGGAGGTACCGGGGCCCGCTGGTCCCCAGGCTGGGTGGAGGGTGGCGTGGGGTGGGGGAGAGAGGAGCAGTCACAGAACGGTGTAGACAGCAGGATCCTCCCTGGCTTTCCAGCAGCCCGTCCTTCAGCCCTGCTCAGCCCGTCTTCCTACCCGCCCTTCTGCACAGCTCCTTCTGTTGTTTTCCTAGTCCCTAGTCCTTGCCTTGCCTCAGTTTGCTCTTTCTCAAAACTTACTTAGAAATTTCCCTCTCTCCTGAGTCCCATTGCACTCACTGACCGCGGTCCTTTTTGCTGTTCACCATCCGCTGTCCAGAGAGAACACCGGAGCATGGTTTCGTTTAGTGCAGTAAGACGGGCATCTGGTCATGTCTGATTTCTCCTGTCCTTCTGAGAACTCCCTGTCTTATACCACTTTATATTGGACCATGCCTAGACAGGACTGGGCACAGAAAGCACACAACAAAGATTTATGAACGAGCTCACACACACACAACACACACACACACACACACACACACACACAAATAAATAAGTAAATAAGGAAAAGCTTAAAATTTCATTATTTTTCTGGAGTAGGAAGTATTATAAATAGCTTTAAAATTGTGAAATAAAAATAATCACCTTTGAGCTCATATAGAATAGAAGGTTGGCTGTCTTTTCTCTATCAGGTTGTAGCCTTGCCCTTTAAAATAAGGGAAAGCAGAGAATAATTTTACCAAAATGGTTGGTGTTTATCACTAAATATTGTCACCCAAAGTTCCAAAGTGAATGAAGCCGAATGTCAATTACTATGATGATGAAAAGTAAGAATCAAATATAGCAGAGCATCTTTAAGAAAATTTACTTAATAAAAATAAGAATGCATATAATATATTTCCTTTTCCAGCTACTATCAGGACAATAAGGCAAGACTTTTAAGTTCTTTTTTAAAATATCATCCCTTTTTTTCAATAAATATTCATTTCTCTGAAGAACAGATAAGTGGAATTTGCTTATTTTCAGTCAGTTTCACAAGGACTTGGATTAATGTTTAAAAGGAAAATTTAAAATATTTTATTAAAAGATTTTCTTCATTTTTAAAAAATAAATACTAAAATTAAAAGAGAAATAATTAGTGACTTGGTATATAAAATTATTAATGAATCTGAATTGCCTGAGATCATTAACTCCTTGCCTCAGGTAAAACTTTGACAATAAAAATGAATAACATACATTTGAACAATTAGAAAATAATGAAAAGCATTCAGGAATGACATTTGACAAAAGCAGATAAGGGAATATTGTACTTGAAAAAATGAACATTTTATAGATCAGTTGCCCCTGATGTGATATATCATAGATTATTAAGAAAATTGTATACCAATATACTGAATCACTTTCAATTAGTTTGGGGCAAAAGAAAATGGACTATACCTAATTAATAATGACAATGAAAGATGTTGATTCAATGTAAGATGTTTATAAATTATAAATGAGATAAAAACATAAAACTAAGAAAATAAGTCTACACTTTGATACACATCTAAACCTAGCAAGAAAGCAATTTTAGAAATAAAACTATTGAAAGAAAATATATATTGAACAAGGAGAATAAAAAAACATTTAATATAGGATGAACTATAAGAAGATACAAAAGCAGTGTGTCACTGAATTGCAAAAGGATAGTGTTGATGACTGTAGCCATGATCTTTGGAAAAATATACAGCTGAGTTTGGAATCTCAACTTGTTAGGTACTAGTTGCAGTACTTTAGGAAAGATGCTTAATTTTCTGAGCTTTAGTATCATTCCCTCATAAAGACACCAAAGGTTGATATAATAAGGTATTAAAAAGGCTTAGCTCATTGAAATACTAGCAAAAAGAGGTTGATATATGCATTCAATATGAACTTAAGGGGTGTTAGACTAACTCCTACTTTACTCATACATTCTTGTAATTGTCAATTCTTGTTACAATAATTTCTTTCTCCGAGTGCCTCAAAAATTAGTGCTTTTGAAACATTAGCTTAAACACTGCATGCACATTAAAATGGGGTTTAAAGATAGCCCAATAACCCTTCATAGTTAAGCTAGAGGCCCAGTGCACAAAAATTTGTGCACTCAGGGGAGAGGATCCCTCAGCCCAGCCTTCACCCTCTTGCAGTCCAGGAGCCCTTGGGGGATGTCTGACTGATGGCTTCTCTCTGTGGGAGGCAACCAGTGGAACAATCAGGGGATGGCACTGGCCAGCGAGTGGCAGGCCCTACCCCCCATAGCCCCACCGCTGCCACTGGTTGCTGTCACCCTCAATCACCATCCCCTCTCTCTGACCACTGGCACCCACCTTGGCTGGCCTGGTGCCACCCACTCACTGGCCCCACCCCCTGCCTACCAGTTGTTCTTCCATTTGGTCTATTTACATATTAAGCTTTTATTATATAGGATAGTTATAGCCATTTTAAATATTTAAAATTGTAAAACTTAAATGAGGATAGCTAGAGAAGGTACTTTATATAAAATTTAAAATTAACCTTTTCAAAATATTTTTAATAAAATGTGTCCTATTTATAACTATATTTGAAAAGGTATTTCTTATAATGAAAATTAGATTTATTTTTAATTATTTTTCTACATATTAAAAAAAAAAAAACACCTCTCAATTAAGTGGATAACACAGTCTTTCTTAATCCTTTCTATATAGGAAAATTGGCAATTAAAGATTACTTTTCTTCCTTAGCAATATATACCAACTAGTTTCAACATTTTATTTGGTAATTTGTTTTAGGTTACAATTTTTAGAAATAATATCTAAAAATTCTTTTGTGAAAAATTTACAGGGAGTGGAAAAAAGCATGATTACATTATTTGTGTTTTGTTTATAATAACATATTGCATTAATCAAGGCTTTGTTCAAATAAATTGAAACTGGTTCAATTTCCTCTTGTCAAGGAGAAGAATATAAATGTGGCACAATTGTATAATTGATTTTGTGATTCAAAAGGGGCTCTTTGGTGGAGATAATTTATCAAGGTTGACAAAAGTGGTAAATGAGTATTTCCTTTGAATTTGGAGAATTTTTTTATTGAAATGTTGAATTTATAAATGTACAATGTTATAATGATTAAAGACTTTTCACAAAAAATGTGCTCGGTAAATCTTTTTTACAATTTTTAATTCAGTTTTAATCTTCAACACTATCTATTTGGTTTCTTTCATTAAAAATAATAATTATGAAGGAAGCACATTGATATGGATATATTAAATAGAGAGAACATTATTAATAAATTAACTAATCTTCACTATTAATCTTCCAAAATCTATACCCAGTGTCCATTTGGTTGTAACTTATACATTTGTTACCAAAAGAATACATGATGTAAGGAAATTGAAATAATAGCATTCTAGAGTTTTATTTATGGGTTAAGTGCCTTCTTAGAATAATATATTAATCAAAATCATGCAGATAATTTCTTTTGGTTTATCACTCTCCTTTCGTTTGTAGTTATGTATAGTTTCACTGTGTCCATAATAATAATATTGGGAAAATAATAACCTTGAAGGCATCAGATGAAGTCTCTGGTGATGTCACATTCACTCTGACATTTATACTGACTTCATTTATGACAGACTGAAGGTGATGAACAGGTCCAAGCAAGAGGTCACCTTGTGTCAAGACTGGTATACAATCTGTCAAATGCAGTGACTGTGAGTCTGCTAATGAGGAATTAACTAGACAGAATGTTGCTATTTTCTGTTTTCATGCACTCCAAACCTGCTAAACAATGCTAATCAGGTGTTTATTAAGTGAAACCATTATGCCAAACTTGCTGCTAACCTCACCATATGTCAGAGAGGTTGTAATATATTATACATCCATTTTAAAGCCAGATTAATAAGAGTCATTCACTGAACTTTTCTTTTCTTAGCCTTTGGCTATGCCTTGGAATCAAGGTTATACTTTTATTTTAATATTTCTTCAAATGGGCACACTTAATTACACAAAACTATTTTAAGTTAGTGCCTCTTGGTAAAAAGCTCTCTTCATTTATTTTATTTACAAAATCAACTATATTAATAAGGAGAGTAAAAATGAAAATTCAATGTGAGCAAATCTAAAAAAATCAATAATGTTTTTTGATAACAGAATACAATAACATAGAAACATGATTTTATACAATCACACATTTTAGGCTAGAATCAGGCACTTTTGTTATTAGCGTTTTTCAGTTTACAAATTAATCAGGGACAAGCAGGCAGTTGAAAATAGTTCCTGAACTGAATACAACTGTACTTGAGGTATTGGAGGACTTCTTATAATATGTTTTATGAGCTAACACATTCTCTGCATAAAAGAGCATCATTTATGAGCTGCCCCGAGAATGATACAAAACATTTAACAATATAACATTTCCTACACTAACTTGTTAGTATCTTCTTTTTTCATAAGGCCTGAGTCAATATTTTTTTTTTCATTTGAATCTTATAGATGCTACAACAGTTATTTATGTACTCTCTGTATTTTAACATTATATTTTCATTCTGTGGGAAAGAGCATTGTTTTTTAACTTGTAAAATATCAGTTTATGTCTAGGAGCAATTACAAGCAAAATGATTTTGAACAATTATCAATTTAAAAATATGAAGCAAAATGTTTTCCCTCCATGATTTTTGAGTGAACCAAGTTAGAGTGATATGTAATACAAACTTTAATTTTAAAAGATTTTACAACTGAATGTAAAAAGTTCCTATTCATATCTAACAAATATTTAAAACATGTGGACATATTTTGTAATCTCTTTGTGTCAGCAGAGTTA